AAAGAGAGTCATCATACGCCGACCTGCGCAAGACCAAAACAAAGTACGATGCGGCATGCCAGGAGGTGGAGAGCAAGCGAAAGAAGACCGAGTCCGCCTTCGACAAGGCAAAGGCACAAAGTCATTATCAGCAGCAGCTGTATGACATGAGCAACGTCAAGAACACGTATTTGATAGCTATCAACGTGACCAATAAGCAGAAGGAGAAGTATTATCACGAATATATCCCTGAACTGCTAGATAGCTTACAAGACCTATCTGAATTCCGTACCATGAAACTAAATACGCTATGGACTACGGCTGCGAATTTAGAGACGGCAATGCTCCGGCAGAGTACTAGCCTTGTCGACAACGTCGCTCAGGAAATATCCAGAAACCAACCGCACTTAGACTCTATGATGTATATCCAGCATAATATGGGACCGTGGCAAGAACCATCTGATAAGGTATTCGAGCCCAGCCCAGTATGGCACGATGACGACCTCATGGTCACCGACGAACCGGCCAAAGTATTTTTGCGCAACGTACTAAACAAATCCAAAGGCCAACTAGGGGATCTCCGACGAGAAGTTGATAAAAAGAGGAGAGAAATCGACGGCGTAAAGCGTATTAAGCAAAGGATACGAGAGGGAACAGAAAACAAGGACGAGGTGCTTGTTGTATCGCAGATTTTTTCTATGCAGGAGGACTTGCATCAAGTAGACCGGAAAAGGTTGACGGCCGAAGTTGAAACCTCAACTATCACATCAGCAGTCGGAGATGTCACTCTGGGCGCTAAAAACCACAATTTCAAGTCGCAAACGTTTAAGATACCAACGAATTGCGACCTGTGCGGTGAACGAATATGGGGGCTATCAGCAAAGGGCTTCGATTGCAGAGATTGCGGCTATACGTGTCACAGTAAATGTGAAATGAAAGTACCTGCTGAATGCCCTGGAGAGCTATCCAAAGAAGAACGCAAGAAATATAAGTCGGAACGACAGTCGGCAGCAGGAGCTCTACTAAAACCTGCTTCCGGTCCACCAGACCACGTTGCAGAACTTCCAGATTTGAGTCGATCCAATACTTTGAACTCTTTAAGCTCTGGATACGCCGCAAGTGCTAATCGATCGATAAGCGGCTCGACAGTAAGCCCGCGTGCCCCTGCCGAAGAACCACAAGCACCCCCCGAACCTTTAAGCCCTCGACCCGCCGTGAAAAAGAGTCGTCTTGTCGCCCCACCTCCTGCCGCATATATCAGCGAGCTACCTGGTAGTGCAGTTAGTAGCTCGGTCTCAAAGAAGGCTAGCGAACAGAAGGGTAAGATGCTGTACGGTTTTGATGCAAATGGGGATACCGAACTCTCCGTTCCTGAGGGGCGGGAGGTTATCATCCTTGAACCTGATGGTGAGTTTCATCCTTGACTTGTATTTTACTTATGCTCACACGGTCACAGATGGATCGGGATGGGTTAAAGTCCGTGCTGGTTACAAGGAAGGTTTAGTACCCGCCAGCTACCTAGAAATCTTCCCTGAGCCGATCGTCCCCCAAGATACGGGCTCTTCTTCAATAAACAACCGACCTGCCTCCGTTTATTCAAACTCGGGATCATCCATAAACACGACTGGCCCAGGTATGAAGAAGAAAGGACCAGCAGTCGCACCGCGCCGGGGTGCTAAGAAGTTGAAGTACGTTGTCGCGCTGTATGACTACGCAGCGCAGAGCGAAGTCGAACACAGTATGACAGAGGGCGAAAGATTTGTGCTGATCAAGGAAGACCCAGGGGATGGTTGGGCTGAAGTAGAAAAAGGGGGCGTGACTAAGAGTGTACCAGCGAGTTACGTACAGGTAGCAACAGACTAGCGAGGGCTATCCTATACGAAAAACTAGTTACGCTTACGCTGCATGGCTGGTAATGACACCAACCGGTGGCTTGTAGGTTTTTAAATACGGATTAGCATTGGATAGACGCAGAGATGTACCTATATATGGAAGCGATGTCGATATCCCGACGAGGACAGAAGGTATTAAATATGCCATACGCTTGTCTTGTCATTGTAGTTCTCATGCTAACCCACATTCTATAAGTTCAACGCGTAAAAGAATAGACCTAAAACAAAGCTCATCAGATTGTAAAAAGTGGCAGTGCGAAAAACATAGATACCTAACCTAGGTGAATGATTCAGTATCTCTCATCTTTTGACAGTAATGTTTACTACCTCATTAAAATTTTATCATATCAACAACAAAACACCTGAGTCATGAACACCAGGTAGGGAGTCAGCAATGCCCACTTTAGCAGCAGTTTGTTCGGGAATCGCCAGTTGTCCTGGCGACTGGCAATGGCTGTGGGCGTGGACAGCCGTTGGTCATGAGCAAGGCCATAACTTATTTCAGATCTTCAAGACAAGGGCCCCCCAGTTGAAACTCTGCAATAATACAACATCTTTTTGATCAAATTCTCGAGTCTTATTTCAAGGATACATGCTTAATATCTTTCCATCGTCAAAGGCAGTTTCCAAGCAGACTGAAATCAATCATGGAGGACTCCATTGGAGCAATCCAGACCTTCCCGAAATTCCGGAGTCTACCAGCTGAACTTCGTTTAATGATATGGGCTTACTGCTTACCGTGCCGCGTTGTCCAAATGCACGACTCGGCCTATTTGTGGTCTCAGTCAAGCCGCATTCAGAAACGGATACGCACAGCACCCGCCATGTCCGCCAAACCTCCGCTGATCACCCAGGTCTGCCAAGAATCGCGTGCCTTTGCCCTGGCAAATGGACGTGTGGAGAAAACAGCATTCTGGAATACGCCTGTGTGGTTTAACCGGAAAACCGATACGATACACATCGACGAGGACAGCTATCGTAAATTCGGGCGTCGTGAGGACGGTAGTGGCGAGGACGCCGAGCCTGGATTGCAGGAACTTGTCGAATGTAGCAGCATCCCATTGAGTGTCAGCAGAAGCATATTCCTCGGGTTCGACCCCATACACCCTCGAGGCAGCGATTTTGCTCGGTGGTCACTTCGACACATCATTGAGCGGAGAGAGTGCACTGTGGTTCTAACCAGTACCTCGATCCACTTGAATTATCAAGATGCTTGCGCTTCTGGCCTCTTTGGACATTTTGCCGAGGAGACTCCTGCCTTCGTCGACATCAACGATGCCAGACAAGTCAAGGCGCTGTCTACTGCCTGCGACATGGCGCCTATGAGAAAGGGATCGACTCGGAATTGGGACGTACTGCAAGTATATGAGCAGATTTCGAGCGAATACATGAAACACTACATCACCTGTTTCCTTCAGTGTGTGCGGACCATGTGGCTCAAGGAGAACAACGCCCTCCGAGATACCTTCATTCCGTGGAAGTTCAACCGCGGACGAGAAGAAAAGGCGCCCTACAAGACGATATTGGAACAGCTCCCGCAGTTCACCTTTGTGGTCGCAGTTCACTTCCACGAGTCGAAGGATAAGCGCCACAATAGTTCAAAGAATCAGGAGAAGTCGATTGCTTTCTTCAATCGCTTACGGGAAGAGTAACGGTAACGCTGGGGTATTAGATGGTAGAGGGGGAGCAATATCTTTTCGATTTGGGATTGAGAAGCTGGCTCGGATTTTAGTGTGTATACATACACAAACATCTATACATCTGAAGGAATTGAGACTGGGAATTAGACGCTATCTCTGGCTGCGTTAAGGACCTTCACTTTACGGATACCCTCTCGGATCACGTCAAATAGAGAGATGGATATTACCATCTAGAACGGTGGATTTCAGGGAGACTCATATATAGGTAGCCATACTATGGCGACAATGCTTTAAGAGTCTAAATTAATAAAACGGGACGGTCCATTCTTCATCTCTAAGTTGACTTTGGCTTTGGACATAGAAGAACAGTGTTTTGGGGATGGTTAACGTAATTATTGCCTTATGCTCTTAGTCTAGACATCAAGGCTCGTGGATACGAAAACATGGGATAGGGTAACTTCGTTCCCTATTTCTCGATGAGAGCACGAATTTACATATTCCCAAAACATATATATTAGTTCTAAGTATAATATATGTCCACCGCTTTTGTCATCCTATTTATTTGTAAGAGCATCTTTTTTCATTGAGGGAGAGAAATGCGTCTAAATATACCCGGGTAATATTCGGGAACCCCGCCTAGACAGCGCACTGACCTTTATAAGTAAAAACTACAAGCTGGGTTATCACAAGCAAGATCTGGGATCCGTCCTAGAAAATGCTGACTCGCTGAACCAATCAGCAAGTCTCCCAAAGTCCATCCTCCGTGGCGCAATTGGCTAGCGCGTCTGACTGTTAATCAGGAGGTTGAAAGTTCGAGCCTTTCCGGGGGAGTTGGGTTTCTTTTTTTTCTTTTTTTATACAATTCTTTTTTACTCTTGTTATTGCGAAAGTTTTGTTTTATTTTGTTAATTATTCGTTTTGGCACTTTATTCTTTTCGCTCACTGTTTGATACTTGTTTAAATATCGATAGAGATTATCTTGATTAAACAAGTGCGTAATCACAATTTCGCAGGGAGCTTTACATACATACCTTCACCTCATCTACCTACTGCTTTATCTAGGTAGCTACAAGGTTTTGTAAAAGTAAGCTTCTTCGGCCTTTTAATGGTGAATATTTGATTGTGTCTACGATGATATTCAAACATCGGCTGTACTTAATGTTCTAAAATCTCCCTTTCATACATACCCAAGGGCCTTACAGGGGTTGGAGAATTATCTCTAAATCTAACTTGAGATGTCTTATTGACTTTATTCCTTCATACATGCACCAATAACCCTGATATTATAAATTAGTGTATTTCTTGTAGATATAAAATAAAGGTGACACGAAGCTCATGTCCACATAACCGCCGAGGTCTCGCACAGCCTGTAGCCTTCTTTTTTTTTTTTTAAAAAAAAAAAAATGATCTGGACCAATGAGACTTCGAGATACTCATGCAAGATGCCCGCGCCACGAACCTCAGCTCATGCAGTTGGACATCGGAAAATATTATCCTAATTATGGGTCGCGCCCAATATAAGTAGTTACATACCCCTGAGTCTCAAGACGACATTGTTTGCGTTTGCGTTTGCATTGAACTATAGCCCTCGAGGTATAGCTATGCCAATATGGAGTGGTTTCCGGATTCCGATCCATTTATAGCTCCTAATAATCTCGACTTGTTTGACTACGAACTGGAAGCTCGTACCAAGGGCCAACAATGCAGAGTTATCCAGAACTGGGGATTAAATGCGGTGAGTGAACTAGTAATAAAGACTACAAGAAAAAAAGTTCTAATTTTTGGAATAGGTTCAAGATGCTGAGATAATTGATTTACCGGACCATCAAAGCTGGGAAAATTGGATACAGGTAAAACTACACCAATTCTAGCATTCAACTTGGCTCTATTTTGTATACCTCGTTTACTGTTTTGGCTCATATTTGATTAACTAGACTTTGGACTTCATTCGGAACGACTTTACCATAGACAAGTTACCTAAAAATGGGTTTATAATAGTGTACGTTCTTATTTTTTATGCCTTCGGAGAATGTTATACACTAGGTTAGGGGCTTACACGTATTGAGATAATGCAGCTGTATTCCGAGGGCGGAAGATATAAAACTCACAGACAGTACTGTACTCTCGGCATACACAGATATTCCTTTGGACAAGGATTCTTCGGAAAGTTGGCAGAAAGTAGTTGAAGCATTTCACCTGCCTGTCCATTTTCCAATGCTCGCGGTAAGAAAGCAGACGTCACTGACCTCTGTAGCTCGCACGTACAAGTTTCCAGAGGGCCCAGAGAAAATTTGGATGCACACTGCGGTCGTAAATCCGGATTCTGATGAAGAGTCATTTGCCATGGCTGCAACTCATTTCGAGAAGAAGAACCTGACGCTGGCTGTTATGTTCTGCTGTTCAGATGACCAAATCAGAAGGATACAAGGGCTCGTAAACATTCATCAGGACGCAATAGGACATCCTCTTCTCATGTTGAGCATCTACGTTGAGTTACAGTACGATCGTCTTTGTACCATGATTAGTAAAAGGCACTTGCAATATGATACTCTCATGGGAGAGAAGGCATTTCAAGAAGCTAAGGAAGTGAAGGATCGTTTCAGCTGGGAGACCATCCATAAGGTTAGGTCGACCCGAGAAGCCATCCGGAAGGCCGAGGAAGAAGTCGAGGCCACGAAGCTCCAGTTATCCAAGGCTCTTTCGGATTTGCAGATGCTGAAGACTCTCAAAGATGAACCTTCGACGAGGATGACGGAGATAATTTCGGAGCGATTTAACGATATAATTATGATGCTCAATGGCCAAAGTTCTAAATGCCGAATCCTTGTCGAGGACATTTCGTTTGCTACAGATATAGTGAGTTGTCTTCGCAATACCTCAGCAAGAGCTGTCCATGTTATAACCCCCCTTTACTTATAAGTTTGCAGATGAGGAGTGAATTATCAAGGCAAGAAGCCCAGACCAGCACCGAGAATTCAAAATTTGCTACTGGTATCGCTTTCGTGGCTATGATCTATCTTCCCCTGTCGACAACGGCGGTAGGTTCCTAGAAAGGTGCCCTGTCGTAAGTTTTCTGACAGATATAACAGACTATATTTTCTATGCCCATTTTTCAGTGGTCTAACGACTGGAGAGACTTACGATATCGACCAGTAGATAGTGGTAACACGTCTGACTCAGGAGACTCAGGAGGCTCAGGAGGCTCTGGTGATACGACGATGTCGCCGGTAGTCTCTGGCTATATCTGGCTCTATATTTCAATATCCGCTGCTTTGACCTTCATCACCTACTTCGGGCTCAAGTTCTATATGAAACTACGAAATAGTGAAAGTGTCATGTCTTTACTCTCATCGATTCCTGGCTTGCCAATTTCCTGGTTTACAAGGTATTAAGCACTTGATTTTACTACTTCCCACATTCACATTCAAAGTCTTTGGTCGATAAATTCTGACTATAGTGTAAAAGGTTGTTTCAAGACAAGATTACTCCCTTCGTGGCTAGGAATGGCAAAACAGGAAAGTACAACACCGGAAAGTCTCTTCCTCGGTAAACGAATAGATATATATTCTCTAGGTGCCGCGGCTCGAATAATTCGGACATGCCCTTGTGATTATCCAGAGAATCTGGCTTGGAACTTGTAGTATCACGTCACCACCAGGAAACGCCTTACCTCTAGAACGGGGCGTTAACCTCTTGCCAGCCGAGGAGCTCGCGCTCTTTGAGCCTAACCATCCTACCTAATCTAGTATAAGATTACTCAACATTATTAGTTCGGCCAATATTTGCCCTCATATATTGGATCCTAGATCAAATGACAAAGGTTGCCTGGTGCTCCAAAGGTCGGCACTTAAGAATCACAATGGAAGAGAGCAGGATAACCGAATCAACAGGAGAATACAATAAGATATGAATGCCTCTATACACTATTTATATTATAATTTATTAGATCCTAGTAAAGGTTATTGTTTGAAAAGCATTTGGAATAGGCTATCAGTGGGTAAGGAGGATTGCCCCCCCCCCAAGGGATCCCTCGCCAATTCATTACAATAAGACTAATGATTAGAGACCTGTCTAAGTTAAGAGAGTTATGAAGAGTGATAATGTATTCGAGTCCATACTTCTACTGTCTTGTTTTATTCTTTACTTTAAATTCTTGTCCAGCCCATCGTCCCCCTTGCTTCAAGGATTAGATCGGGGCGTATATCGAGTGTCTATAAACTCTTAATAATTAGGTAGTCATCGACCTAAAATAGGCTGTTAGATGGGTTCAATGAGGGGTTTCCGAACCAAGTACAGCTAAATTTTTAGCTGGATTAATGTAATCCAAAGGACGTGGTGATAGAGCCTTTTTGGTATTGTGGAGCTTCTATCATATAGTCTTTGCCTAGAAACCGCCGAACACATTGTATTTTCCAAGTCAGGTAGCAATACTCTTGCAATATCCTGTTATCATATAGGACCTTTTGGCTTCACTTAAGGACAACTAACATACCCTTGACTTAATTGGATTTCACTTATACTTACCAGCTACTTATATTATTTCTTGCTAATACCGAAGTCATTGCCATTCATCAAAGCGTGTCTATTCTCAGTAATGGCCTCTCGCTTTATCCTCACTGCTGGGGGAGCCTAGCGTTAGTATCCTCATGTTTGTTATGGATGGAGATTGTTTTTATTGCTTGAAGTAAGTTATGTACACATATTAATCTCATCAGAGCATGTAGTGTAAGTAATGCTATGGTACACTGTGTTCTCTATACTACGCCATTCTGCCACCACCAAGTATCATTCCTCGTCTGTCACCCCGCAACCTGGCCAGTGAATACTTGGAGGAGGCTTTACTACGGAGTTAAAGGTCCGCTACCTTGTTGAGAGCCTGCCCTCAAATAAAAAGGCCCATACCGATTGCTTTAAATTAAGACTATTGGTTAACACCGATATATGTTTATGTTGACTATAAATTGTTTTATCTGAAAGCAGTCGGGGCATCATCAAGTAATAATATTATAACGTATGGGCACGTTGATGTACAAAGTTATAGTATCTAGATCCCCGTTATCATTTCCAGGGAATATAGAACATAATAGTAATACTAGTCAATCTTTAAATCCGGCTACAGAGGGAGGAAACGATTGATCTTCTAGGAGGCCTGGGGGAAAAAAGCACCATAATAGCCACCACTTCTGTCTCACATCGCTGCATATCCGGCAAAAGTTATACAAGATGGATACTGGAAACTGCAATGCAGCCATGGCCTATATCGTCACATGAAATAGTAGCGATCATCCCGATTTAATAATCTTGGTTTTAAAATATCGTTGGTGCAAAAGTTTAGACGTACATCTAAGACATGTGCACGGATGAAGCCCCGCGACCGGCTTGCATCAACCACCTCCTTTATACATGAAACCTTCTTGATGTAAGTCTTAGACAAAAGTGCGCGTAGCAAGTTTAGTTCCTGCATATTCCCGTGTTAAGAAGAGGGGTAAGTTGCCTTGGTCCTATAGACACTCGGATACTATACTTGACACTATTATCTTTTGCTGTCTATGATGCCTTCTATAGTGGCGAAATAGTTGTTTTCATAACATGGACATAATTGGTGCGATGAAAAAGGAATAACTACCTAACCTAGAGCTTTGAAGACTGAGACCAGCTAGGTATATTATTTATTATTTAATGCTCCTTGGATAATTGGGCCTATGACTCGTTTTGCATTGACAAGTTGTCTCGGATCAGAGGAGAGGAGAGGACTAGGCCAGGTCACGAGTTATAGGAATCAAAACATCAATTCTATAGAATCAAGTACCACGTGGGCAAACTGCTGTGCTCACGGGTTTACTTGAATTCTATAGCATTAATGCCTAATCCATGAGAATAAAAGACTAAAAGAGTCGATTCCCACACAACGACAAGTCTATTGGAAAGGACCCGAATGACCTCTTATTCCGGGTGACTATCATTACAAATACGGGGGTTCGATTCCCCTCCTCTCTCGGGAAGAATGGTTCTGGTTTTGCGAAGGTCGTCACACGTTGGTGGAATTATTCTTTTTGGTGTATCTTTATCAACTAAACAGTGGAGCCCATAACTAAATAAACTAAAGTACTATATACGCGAGAAAATAAAAGACTAAAAAAAGAGATGAGCATCATCGCGATACTCCCAGTTGTGAGTATTATAAGAATCTAATTTTTCGAATTGCCGGTACAAATTCTGATCTGTAAAACCTGTAACAAATCACCATACTTACAATATTTAAAGTATATAAGGAAGTTTATCTAACAATGAAGAGTATTACCTAATATGAAGCTATCGCGACTCCATCCAGCATCGGGTTTAAACCCGACGATCTCCCGAATCGGCGCCGGGCGTGCCGGAGACGGAGTAAATGTCGTGTAGATATTTCCGCCAGCCAAATGAATGAAACATCATCCACTACAGTCTCGATATCCATCATATACCCACAAGGAATCAGCTATTCCAATGGAGAAATACCCGCGTTCTTGGCCCGGCAGCCACATGGAAGGGGTCTGACGCGGCCCTCTGACGAGCCCGGTGCGTAATTGTCGTACAAGCCATGCCAACTAGATTGTATGTAGGTACCTATGTAGGTATGTAGGTATGTAGGTATGTATGTAGGTCCTACTTATTACCTACCTTGGTTGAGATAAGCGTTGGGGTCTGTCAGATCATGGAATCGAACGTGGCTTGCCAAGAGATCAAACTTCACATCCCCGGGACGAATCACGGCGCCGCGACTAACTGGTGATGAGCGATTTCAACACGTCTACGATGGTGTTCATCCTGGTTCCGCCAAGTGGGATAGAGGCGCATCTGGCGGTAGAGCTCTGCGGACTAGGTGTTATTGAATGCATTAAGGTGGTTGGTTTAACGGTATAGCTAATACATCGCGATGCGAATCGAGCCGTGTCGTCGTCGTCATCATCATCATCATCATCAAAAGCTGCGCGTGGAAGTAAGTGGGCGGCGCACTTTGAAAGTGAGGCCTCCAACGAGAGGGGTCAATCGGTGCTATGCTATGAGATCTGAATTAGTCTACGGGATTAGGCCTAGTTATATGAAAAGTAAGGAGTATTCTAACCTACTAACTATTAACTACACACACTAGTTAATGCAGAAGAAACTAAAAATACGAAGCTATAATATACACCCGTTGACAGGCTTTGCAACTCCATAGAGTGCCGAGACATCCGGAGAAACAAAACTACGGCCTCGACGCCGCCCATCTCTCCCCGCGGCGCCTTGGGCTGGCTTGCTAGAAACTCCATCGCGAGCCGTAGGTCCTCGGGGCGCACAGGCCCCGGCGCCCGATCCCTAGACTGCTGGCTGCAGGTGAATCTCTCGTCACACGCCGTCCGCGCAATCTAGGCCCAGCGAGGCTGAGGGGGACCCGCGCCGATAGGTGCGTTGGTGGTCTTCGTGGGGATATAAGATTCTCATGTAAGCCTGCCCGCGTCATCAACACGCACGCACGCTCCGGCTCCTGCTATAAATCCGGGTAGGCCCGCGTTGGGATGGCGATCCTGTCAGCCGCCCAACGCAGAGGATTCGCCGGCTAGTCAATGACAAGCCGGGCCAAGCCCGGGTTGGGTGTGACAAAAGAGCAGAGCAGAATACCTAGGATGAAGAGACTCGTCGACGAGGAAAATCTTCGCAATCCTCTCTCTTTCTCTCTCTCTCTCTATTTGGCCGCGTTACGTGTGCTGGCGTAAGGGCGCAACAGCGCGCTACTTGGTTTGTTACCGAGCCACCGGGAGAAGTTTGGCCTCGTCATGTCGTGGGCATCGAGGGCTGTTAACAGAAACGGCTGTGAATTGCTTGGCTCACCATAAGAAGGATATGCGGATATGCCCATATTTGATGACTTGATGCCGACACAGCGTGCAGCGCAGAACGTGCATGGGACCAGGCAAGTACCGGTGTTGGGACTGTCTTGTCTGTCCGTGCTGTATTGTACATTGGGTAGGCTATGTATCTACCTCCTATGCATCCAGCCACTAACAAGCAAACGCCCCCCCACGCTCATGGCTGTCATTCTGGTAGCCCTTCTGACATTTATATGCATACGTCTAGACCACAGCCGTTTACAGTCCTGATTGGACGAAGCGATAATATGATGTTTATGCTTGAATAGGTGTAATGAACCTACCCCGTGGCTCGCTGACTAGGTTAGGTAGGTAGGTAAGGTAGCCATGGTAGCCATAGTAGGCTTGGTGGGCAAGTAGCTAAGGTACCCTTGAAGGATGATCTCCATTTGATACAACGCAATCTAACACTGTAACAAAATCTACGGCTCTTGTTATCAGAAGACCGGGATCAAGCATCCAGTTTCCTAATCAGACGTGAGCTGTGAAATCTATTGGAGCGGCCCGACTGGTGGACTAAAAGTTGCGCCGGGCCCGTAAAAGACTTTACTAATGAGGCATGTAAAAAAAAAAAAAATGCGCAGCGATGGATACTCAGTTCCAGATTGTTGACGTGCTAATATGTGCTCCACAGGTTGTGGGATGGGCTTTTCCCATCCCTGGCGATGATCACGGCTGGATTCACGACTGCATCGGGCCTTCGAGAAACATGCCTGACTTTCTATTCATAGTGTTAAGTTGTCGGATTGCAGTGGTAAGTGTGTCTCGTACATCTAGAGAATATATTGGAGCAAATATAATATATCTGTAACCGTGATAAGAGACACATGACGTGTCAATGTCTATGTAGATCGATGATCGTAGTACGAATTCCAAAAACGCCTCCTTAGTCCCTGGCTGATAGCTGGTGTAAGGTGATATATCCAATAGCGCCGTCTACATTGAAAAAAAAACCACATAGATGACAATAGATCATCATAGGTATCCCATAGGTATCCCACAGACACGTAATGAAAAAGGAAAACCCCCGACTCGTGACGCTCGTAAACAAATCGCAAATCACCAACCAAATTGCTCGCAGTGAATCTCAACTGCAGGTCCGTCAACTTTGATGTAGCTAGCTCCAATGTCGCGAACTATATTAATCAAGCTGCTAGGTCCGCAAGCAGCGATTAGAACTCGTTGATCTTTGTCTAGAGACTCTACTGCGGCTCTGATCTCGGCTGCTGTGTCCGGCCTACCATGAATAATAGGCAACATCGTCGTATTTGTAGTCGTCGAAGGGATCTCTATATGTCGCGTTGCATCTATATCCTTTTCATCTTTGTCGGACTCGTCCCGAGTAGCGGTTGAAGAACCGGGGACGCTGATGGCAGAATGGTCAGCGCCCTTTTCGAGAGACGACGGGTTTATATCTGTAGAGGTAACCGATGCTGAACGTCGTTCTATGGAGTCATCTCGGCTAGTAGGCGATGCAGATGCCATTCGAGTAATATGCAGCTTGAGGGCAACTTTCGGAGCGTGAACGTGGCTGCTGAGGGCTTGAAGCTGTTGCGTAAACCACGTTAGGTTTTCTAGATACGAATTAATATGCTTCTAATCCCGAAAAGTTATTAAGTGTGATCGCTTACCATGACCTTTAACAGCCCAGATGAAGTCAATCCGCTGTTTGGAATCTTCAGACATTCGTGCCAGCATATCAGCTGCCATTCCGAATGTGAACGTCGCGCCAGAGCCGCCTGCGACCAATACGACTCTGTCGAAATCCATAGGATCGGGCAGTGTGCCGTAGGGACCTTCCACGGAGACCTTAAGACGTGCTCCAGGGTTGTTCAGTGCGTACTGATGGAGAGCCCTAGTGAAGCCACTATATGTGTTGATAATGAGCTCCATAGGCTCGCTAGCGACAATTGTAAAGGGGTGAGTTTCAAAGGTGCGGATTCGCGGTAGCCAGACATAGCAGTGCTTTCCAGGTCGAGCACGTAGGAGAGGCTTCTTGAGCACTATTCTAGTACCGCCATTCGGAAGAGGGTAGACTGTGGCTTCGTTGTTGATACTGTTGTACACAAGTCGACAAAATCGAATGAGGCGATCGGAAAACCATAACGCACCAATAATTACGGTCGCGTACAATGTCTTGTCGGGGTCGAAATTGGGACGGTGTAGACCCATAGTGACAACAATGACAATAAAGAGGGCCAAGTGTACAACATAAAAGGACTCGTAGTGAAAGTGCCTCAAGATCGCACCAGCGAGAACGGAGAAGAGTAGGGCAAATCCGAGGATAATACCGGCAGTGACGATATCTAGTTGGAGGACGTAAACGAATCCTTGGTTTAAAAAGTAGGCTGAGTATATACTGCCATGCAAGATGGTGTATACCAATGTGGTGTACCCGGCAATTTGGTGTAAGCCGTTGAGTCGTTCATAAGAGTAAGCCGTAAAAATCGCTAAAGGTGTGTTCTTCAGCGCGAGAAAGACTACTAAGACCATATTCCCCGTTGCCATCCTGACATATCACACATTAGCGCGGCAAATAGAAGTGGTATTATAAGAACTCACCAGCCAAACCGGGCACATAAATCGGTAGCCATGCTGTAATTGACGTTGTAGAAGCTAAACAGGACGTTAAGAGCTACATAGGCGGTCACTACAGCGGCATGTCCGATAGAGGTAAAGCCAGGTACGCTTTGTATAAATATCCTCCTAGAAACTCTGAGGAAATACTGGGTTAGAACGCTTCCATCTCTTGCGACGGGCATGCTCACCTTGCTATAGCAATAAGAGGTTGAAATATCGGGTTACGAGACCAACCGAGTCTGACGGCTATTAAACGAAGCCAGTGACCAATGATGAAGAGGCCAATAAGGGAACTCAGTCCGGCTGCGTAGTATACCAAGACTTTTTCGTTCCTAACATGTCGGTCCTGTATGTATTCATAGAATGCTGCTGCTTCGGCGGCAGCGGCAGCAGCGGCGGCAGAAGATTCAGAAGCAGCCGCCGACGCCGTCCCGGATGTTGGCGAACTCATGGTTGCAATGGTGGTGATGACTTCGAAATAATGAGACGATGCGTTGAGCTTACGATCAGAACCCCCAAGAAACGAACGAGGAGGATAGGTCTTATAAAATAACAATGGTATGATGTGCTATCAGTATACGCGAGTACGCGTTTCTGTTGAGGCACCACACCTTTGTTTGTACGTAGGTAGATCGGGGCCGAGTGGAGAGCCGTTGATATAATATCAGAGTCTTCAAAGGATGAGGCGGATCAGCTAATAGGTCACCTTGGAGGTGGACGTAATCTATCAACTATTCTCAACGCAATCCTTCCTGGCTCGGGGGAAAAAGTGAACGGGCACAGCCCGAGTTAAATCATGGCAGCTCTCAGTCTTGTCGGAGTCGAATAACTTGGCGAAGCACGTGTCCGTGTGGCCGTGGTCTTCCACGGTCGTTAGAGAATACACTTAGCTGGATCTCTATGCCCAAAAAGGAAGTACCATATAGGGCGCGGGATTGATTCACCCATCAGCCATCAGCGAGAACCATGATTAACAACTCTATATGCATGCAATCGGTATCAGACAGGGGCTAGATGGCCTCACCGATAGTGGTGGGCTAGCCCTGCTCCTGGTAGCGAACATGTTACATTTTGGAGTGAAGGAGATATGGTGCTACATTCGGAGGTATAGTAATAAACCTCCCGCAAAGCGTGATTCGCGAGAGTGACTAAGGTATGCAGAGGTGTGTGGACGGAGCGAGGTTACGCTTATGAAGCCGAAGTGACATGGCTGCTTGCATTTCTAGGGCCAGGTCGGCAGACCTATGGACTAGGCTGAATTAATAAGATCGTATAGTACTATTCGGGAAAATAGAAGAAAGAACATACATGGGATATGTGGACTATGTGGATATGTGGGCTGATATTCTGGAGCCTTAGAATAGCTGTGTTTGGTTTGACGGGTTGACGTAGTGAAGAAGGAGGGTGAAGATGGTGAAGATGATGATAAAGGTGAGGGTGAGGGTGAGGGTGAGTGTAACACTCAGAAACATTTGGTACCGGCTGTCAGGGATCTAGGGTGTTACCTACCTTACAGGCTACCGGTACATAGGTATATGTATGCACTGCATAAGGTAGGGTTTATAGGCTAGCAGGGGCCTTAATTGAAAGCTATTGGATGTTAGTTTAGTGCCCAAGTTAGTGGGCCGCAACAACCAATACCCCGTTCCGTACCCCGTACCGAATAGAGGAAGTAGGTACCTTCGGTACTCTAATGCTTTGCAGCCCTAGCGGACTTTGCTGCGATTCGTCCCATTCCCTGATTTCTTTCTCTTTTCAACCTTCTATTTTCTCCTTGGTACCTAACCTTATGATAACCTTGTTCGTAATCCCAAACCAGCTATACTACTATCGGAAGTCAATAATAATCTGGATAAATACATCGGTTTTATGAACCTTGTCCAAGTAAAGTACCGGACAATTCATAACCGCCAACAAGTTTTCATCCCGATTAGGACATGAATTAGTAATTCTCTGCCTACCTATACGAAGTCCTGGGGGTTTTCCGTGCGAGGATCGACGCCCCTTAGCTATGTGTGAGTGTCTCCTAGACATCCACGCCACAGATGTTTTGTGATCCTGCCGTTGAACACCGTGGGATCCGTTCGAATCCCAGGTAAGCGACATCTTAATATTACCGACTTGGGCTTTCGGGTGCTAGGGTGTATGAGTTACGACGAGAAGGATTGTACTAAACTGTGGTCTACGCTATCTTTGTCACGGTGCCTGGTTCCTCGAACACTACAGAAAACCTTATTGTCAAGCCGGGGAGTTGATAAAACCCGAGATCATTCATCCTGGCTGAGTATACTTCCGACCAGATTAGATTCATCTCCCAAGCTGCGAATCCAGGGATCGGGTTGCGTTGCTTCGTAGCTCGATGTACCATCATGGTAACAGCTCATCTATACTTATCCAGAGGCGAGATGTCATCGCTGGCTTAATCAGCATACATGATCGCAGACCCTTGACCCTTGGCATTCTCTCCGCGTCATTTTGATTACCGGATCCCTGGTGTTTAAGGACTCCGGTATGTTGCCCTTGGATCAACATTAAGCGTGCCTTTAGGTAGGAAAATGTTTTGCTTGGCTGTGCGATTTGCTTCTCTTACATCTTTAGAAATCATGGAGATTTGTCAGACGGTCCGAGACCATGTCAGCGACTTTGTCAGCATGTGAAAGACCACGTCCTATTACATAGTATATCGTTATCAGATCTGTTCCACCTACCTCATTACGACTAATCTAACCATAAAGCTTCAAGTAGCGCTCGTTCACCCCACGGCGGCTAAAATATTTCGACTAGCCAACAAAGACTACATACGCTAGTTATAGTGAGAAGGAATTCTCCTACTGGCTCAAGAAGCGATCTTTAATTATGTACCATTTAGACTGGAACATGGCCTAGCAATTAAAAAAGACCAACGTAACAGTAGCACCTCTACGGGCAAGTCGGATAACACAACAAGCCCCGACTATGACATGCTCGCCGTTCCCAATACAAGTCAATAGCTATCCCACCGACAAGCTCAATTAGGCAGTCAGTATCAAAAAGAAAAAAACGAAGAATCTAATTTACTCCAGGCCCGAAAGGGACCAAGATGTCCTACAGCTTGCTTATTAACTGTTTCAACCCGCGTTGCTGGTTTCTTTGTCGGGGGTATTTTGCTTATCTTTTAACTCGACCTCAGCTCTAGATCGAATACGTGCGTCTTCTATACATAGTAAGAGGATTGATCCTACAAGTTATGAGGCTCTTTGTATGAAGAGTGCCATGTAACATGCCGGATCTATCTGAATGATCTCTCCGACAATCTAGATCGGGGCAAGATGAAAACTTTCGCATACCTACTCGGTTCGGTTCTAATCTCTAACTTAAGTCTTTTGCCAATCAATTATAACTGATGATTTCACATCAGGCCAATTCTATAAGTTATACATACCCAGCAATGGCACCGTAAAGAAGAACAGATATATTCACGTTTAGCTAGCGTGATGGTTTTCGCTCTTCCGTAGCAATGGTCTTTAAGAAGTCTTCGAATGTTTTTACTAGATCGGATCTTCACTCACGGGGAGGATCAAGTCTAAACAAGAACCGATACGACCTTTCACAAGACTAACCATATATATATCAACATAGTCGCTCATCTTTTACCTGATGTATAGGTATTTTCATCGGGTTGCGCAGTCGATTTAATTATACATAATCTTCGGCAATCCCTTCACCTAAACAATAACATGATATGCAAAGGTCAGCCTCACTAAACTCAATATGCCTGTTAATTCACATGTTCTCTCCCATAATAACCGTCAGCTTAATAGTGTCGGTGCATTGGGGTGGCGCCACGTTTCTTCGGGATACACCAACGTCCATTTATCCTAATTATTTACAACATTCGGCTGCGTGAGAATCGCTTATGCATTCACAGAAATTAATTTGTAGCGATGGCCTGCAGGTTACATTGGCATATCACAAGGAACATCCCACCGTATTCTGCCGAGCGAAAATCTGGGGAAACCATGGAGGCACTTTATTCCTAAGTGTCTCCCCAGATTAATAAAGCTTGTAGCTACATGAGAGTCCTCGGAGACTTCTTTTGACGTCGTGCGATCTACGGTAGTTGCAGCGGTAGCCGACATGCCTGCAAAATCAAGCTCAACTCTACTTCTCACGATAATTAATGGCGTTCCATACCCCCGGTCGAAAACAAACCCCTACTATCGGCATCTCTTGGCTATGCGACGTTTACATAAGCTATTGAGCTTGTTCAGACAGAGCCTTAGGTACCTATCCAAAGCACATTGTCAATACGAGAGGTAGATAGGCAGGCTAAGACGGAACTCGGGAGATTCTGGACGCTACTGTTCAACAAGGAAGCATTTGCACCCAATTTCCTTCATGCATCCGGGGATGCATAACGTGACAACACTGCTGTGACCCTATTTTATTCCGGTCCTTCAACTACGGAGTCATGTTCCGCTATCGAAAACATCATTCCCTTCCAGTCCGTACATAGCCGCCTCAAAGTTGGTTAACCACTTATTTTACATATGCAAGGTACACGAGGGGTAAAAATTCCGTCGAGAGAACCGAAATACAAGGAAATTCGAGGAGAGGGTAACAATATACATAGCTCTGCAACTATCCTGTCATCCTTTATCACGGATTCACGATCCTTGTCTGTCAAAGGTCTCTTTGCCTCCGGGCTTCCTCTCGGAGCAAGCTCAAGCCTCGAGTTACATCGTAGATGTTTTGCTAGAGAGCTTTCCCCGCATCATTAATACGACCGCTGCAAATCGATCTTGCAGGACTCCAGAAAACACCGACTAGATTAGCACCACGTCAATAAGAGAGCAACGAGAGCGTCCGAGGTAACCAGCATATAATGACTGGGAACGGTCCGAAGTGGAACGTTCGTATAGGGATGGCGGAGAAGCTCGGCCTCGCGACGACGTCCAAGTTTTCACTTTAAAACACATGATGTATGTAGGTGCGAAATCGTAGGTTTTACAAGAAATATTCCACTAATGCATTAACTAAACAATCATCTACTAACTAAAATAGAACTTACGAGTAAGCAATTGAAGAAACGTGGTGAAGATCCCTATACACAGACGCCTAGGTTAGGCAATTTACCGAATAGCCCCCCTTTCCCGACCCTACTCTTAGTGTCACTCGGCTGCTCTATAGGATATTAACAGCTACTTGCTCTGGTTTAAGCCCGCATTTGTAGGAACTATCGTTAGAGGTGGTAGCGAGGACAACTTTGAAGACGCGATGTTTACAGACAATTAGTACAACTCTTCAAACGTCGGAAGCGTTTTCATCAGAGCAGCCGGGGACAGGCATTCGTCAGATGCAGTCGTGATAGCGTCTCGAGTCGGCTGGTCAGGACATGCGGCAGCGATCATGGCCAACCTTTGGCCACATTCGAACATCTTCCTAGCCAATTTACGGCGATGCACCCGGGACAGCTGTGTCTGTTCCTCGACCCGCTTGTTGATCTCGGCGTCGTTGTATGTGTTGTACTTCATGCGTATCTCCATGTCGATCTGCTCGTCCGTCTTGGCCATTTGCATCTGCATGTCCAGGGTGTCGTTCCTAACCACTTGCGTCATTAGTTGCGTTTCGAGCATCTGCTTCTCGGCGACGAGCTTGAGACCCCAGAGTCGGGCGCCGAGCGGTTGTGCAGGCTGTTCCCTCATCTGCTCCTCGAGGTTATCGAGAGCCTCTCCCGCTGATCGGACGTGGTCGTTGTCGTATCCAAGACTCGTGTAAAAGTCGAGGACCCGTTGCTTTAACCTGCCCATCGATTGTCTTACCTCGCCCACGGCGTTGTAGAACTCTAGGAGGTTGTTTGTGTCGCCAACCTGGGCCATCCATCGATCAAGGAGCTCTCTGGTCTCCTCTTTCAAGTCTTTGTTATTCTCCTTCGCCTCCTTGAGCTCTCGAAGTATCTTCATAGTGTCGAACTCAGCAGACGGGCCGGGAGCGGGACTTGCTGTTGTCTTGTTCTTGTTCTCGGAGTCCTCGAGCCTGCGCTTTAGCTCGGCGATCATCTTCTCGAGTCTCGTGTTTTCATCTCTAACAGCTCGTTCCCTTCTCCGCATTTCTCTCACCTCTTCCTCGAGCTGTTCAATCTTGTCCTCTCGATCCCGCAGGTTTCTGTAGCAAGCATTTAGCTCGGATGTTTGCCTGTCGTATTTATCTTGGAGGTCTTTCTCGCGGTCCTGGCTTTCTTTAAGCTGTGTCTTTAGGATGTCGTTCTCCTCCTTGAGCTTCTTTATTTGTTCTTCGGCCTTGTTAAGCTCGTCCTGTAGCCTGGAGACTTCTTTCTCTAATTCTTCGATCTGGGCCTTTAGTTTGCTGCTGTCCTCGCTGGCCACTTGAGCATCCTTTAGCTTCTCGATTTCTTCTAGGAGCTCCGCGATTTTCTCGTTAGCCTCCTGTTTCCGTTGCTTCATTTCAACAGATTTCTGGGCAACAAAATGGATAACCCCTTCGTTCTGTGCCACAAGACGGTTGAACCAGGCGATAGGGACAGTAGCCTTCCCGACGAGTTGCGCTTTTGCGCCTTCTAGCCATTCACCAGCACGAATCTGTCGAATTCTCGCCATCATATTTTCGCGCTCTTCTTCGGTCGCTTTTCGACCGACTGCCGCCTCCCAGTCAGTGACTGCTCGCTCAGCCTCTTCTTCGACATCTGGTTCGATACCATCCTCGTCGGCAAGGACACCCTTCTTCTCTTTCTTCTCGTAGTAAGCCTTGATAGCATGGTTGTTAGTAGGGTCAAAGCCGGGGTCGGGCAAAGAGAACCCGCTAAGGGTATTGTCAGATGAAAGTTGCGCAGCGGCGCTTGAAGGGCCTGTAGATTCAAATTTCCCCATTTTGGTTATGTTTGAATAAAGTGTTCAGTATGTGAGGAAAGGTTACTAATTGGGCAGCCGAAGATTATAGATGGTTAAGCTTGTTAGAGCAGTAGTTCTTATTGTTAAGTAGAAGGTTGATAAGATGGAATCTGTGTGAGATGATGAGAAAAAACTCGAAAGCTCTGGGTTCTACATCCATATTATATATACTTTCTTCTCATAGCTAGATTTCCTATAGAATATAGAAGAGTTTGTTTCACTGGAAACAATAGACAATGAGGCTATTTTTAAAGTTAAAGAACGTGTTGTTGTGAAACAAAATCATTGTTATCATCTTGAAGATGCCTGTAATACCATAGAAATATAATACAAGGAATTATGGTATTCGATTGTATTGAACCGGGGCTTTGTGGAAGGCCAAGCGAATGTTCTATAGACAAAGCGTATTGTGCCAAATATTGAATTGAAGCTTTCTAAAGTAAACGGATATAGGACAATGTGGTGTTATTATTAGGGCAGTACCAAGAAGATACCGGTCGTCATAAGTTTGGTTGTCGTAAGGTTTGGAACCCAGACTTTAAGTGATTGAAAAGACTTGGAGCGTGTATAGTATTTTTCTTGATAACTCTATACTCTTTCCCAGTAACTATACTATAATATCAACCCCTAAATTATTATTATTCCTAAGTACAGTTAAAATATATCATGCCGGCCTTTGACTCTTATGGTAGTGCTTCTTATATTATTATACTATTCCGTCAGTCGAGGACCTCCACTCGAGGTACTAAACGCAAGTCGGTCTCTCATGGCCATAATTACTAGTACTCGACTCTAATCACTGCAACATCACTAATACATGATTCAGATTCATCACGGAGCGATGCTTCAGCATGTCTTATATAAGACTATTAAAGCACTAACCTAGAAAACTGGTTGGGTTTAGCATTTTAGGACAACGCCAACTGCGTAGGAAAAGGGTAAGTGCTTTAAAGCGTTGATTAAGTCGCTCAACCTATGAACATCTAAAACTTTACACTTTACATGCCTACCTCATGTAGTAGTGGCGCACGTTGAAGATAATTGGCTCATCTTCCCACGCAAGGGATAGAACTCGCTGCACCCCTCATGCCCCTGGCTAGGTAATTACAAGAACTCCTTGACCGGCAAATATTCCTAGCTCGATAGCTACCCACTGCTTACGATGGCATTGATTCTTCTGTACATAGGTACGTAAATGGCCATTACTCCTATTATGCTCCTCCCCATACCGCTTAGCGATTATCCAAGTAGCACTTATTCTCGGCGTCAGGATGTAAATTTAATAATGACCTCAGCAATATTTGCCCTTGATCCATCCATTCTATTCTTTGCCAGGAAAGCGCTGTATGTACAAGTAAGTAGGTAGGAGCTAGGTAGCTAGCCTAACTCAGGGAAAGCAATAAGGGCAAGCAATTTACCTATAGTGTAGGACATGTAAGTAAGGGGCGGTACTAACCCGAACCGGTGGTTGGCTCATCCTGGTGCCGACAGCAGGGCCAGGACCGAGGGTTGGGACGAAGATTTTGCGGTGGACTACCTGTTTATCGGAGACGAGGTGGTTACTGACATATTAGAACGTTATCGGGTACGTGAGGTATTATATTGTTCGCGTCGTGATCGTAGAGCTGGTTAATAGATAGGAAGCAAGTCGGTCTATGGGTTTCAGCTGGAACACTATTAAAGAAAATCACAATGTATGCCCACTAAGCCATCGTAGGCACTACGTTGGTTATAATTCTAGCTCAAGCACTTGAACTCTTCCTAAAAGCATCTATATTGGACCCAGAAATATGGCTAAGTAAAAGTTAAGAAACACAAACCTGTCGCATCGTACGCATAGGCCTTATCAAGGCACGGTATAAACATCTTCATAGCATAGAAAATAGTAGTCAATTTAGATTGTATTGTGCAAGAAATTATTCAAGACACAATAATAATATGGTTCAGAAACAAGGTAAATAAATCTACAACACAAACCCATATAACCTTACGCTCTGCCTAAAAGGAGATGCCCTCAACGCCTGAATTCATGCCTACGTAACCTAAGAATAAGCAATTCTAAATGAGTGACGCCCCAGTACCCCTAAGGCCAGCCCCTACTATATCCAAATGAAGGGTATATGAGAATAATAGAAAATGTTCACCGCAAGGCCACCACAACCAGCCTGTCCAGTGGCGGCTGAGAACGCTATGTGCTACTTAGATAACCCCCTTCATACTACTGATAGAGTTTCCATATGATCCCTTATGTGATCTCCGAAATTGGTTTATATAACGCCCCCGTTTACCACAAGGCGTCACTGTCCACCATATTCCTTAAAAGAGGCGGTGCTAACTTCCTTAGAGAATAGCCTGGTGTAGAAGACTTGATACTGGTTCGGTTATAAGTCGGGCTGCTTCGTGTCGACGGCAAGTCGTACGGAGCTACCCGTATTGGTTGAAGTGGCGTCCTGGGGGATCTACGAGGTAATGTCTGGGATCCTGAGTCTCGTAGAATTCGTCCCGGGAAGAATGCCAGCAATATCAAAGTGGCAAGCAGTACCATTAACCCGTCGAGTATAAGTAGCAGCGTTTCCGACTGTGCGATCGAACTGTTGAATCCCTCGGCAATCGCCGCGATTCGATAGGCTGTTCGCAGGACGAGCAAGAGAACCGCAAATGTGAATGCTATGCGTTGTTTGAAAGTTAGCCTATTAGGACTCCGTAGGTATGTGGTTATCGCGTTTCTTTACCAAACAAGAAGGCCTTGAAAGACCTGCTATTGTATATGCTGGCAAATTTAATATCCAACATATGGTGCCTCGTCTGCACGGCAATCGCGAACAGGATAGCATGACCAATAAAGATAACCAGGGCAACAAGTTGAATAACTAGCCCAGCGACGAGGACATGGGAGCCTATATCAACCTAGACAGAAGTCAGATCCATAGACCATATCTAAACACAAGTGTAACACCCTACTTTTCCTATGCCATCTTGAATTGTCGAGACAAGCACCCCAGCCAACTCGAGTACAAGCGATACAGCTGTAAGCACATAGAGTACGAATGAATACCAAACCGGTCTCCATGAGCGGAATTCTTCGCCGTAGATGGTAAAAATTTGCGGCGGTATAAGGAATATACTGCCGCAGATAAATGTCGGGCCCACGATAGTTCCGATCAAGAATAGAATGAAGCCACTCCTATCGGTCGGGGTATTATGCAACAGGAGTCTGCCGATATAGCCCATCACTTCCAAGGTGAGTCCCGTCACCACCGCCGTAGCAAAAACAGAGCTCTTGTACTTGATCCCCAAGGCTAATGTGATCGGAATCAAAACGGCGAACAAGGCCAAGAAGACGCCGCTTCCCGCGAAGGAAGGTTTGTATATGAGAAAGATCTGCGAGCAGCGGCCCGAGACGTAATCCGTAGGATTACCCATATCGCATGGCTCTTGTCGGCTCCGGCTAACAACGATTTGAAAGAGAAAAGTCCTAGCGGGATGAACAAGTTTATAAGTCGGCTAGATCTCATGCCGATATAGGGTAGATTCGGAATCACAAATCCAGCTAGGTATCCTAAGTGCCTAGAGAGGGAATCACGGCAATGCCTAAACAGCACAAACAATCGGATGAACCCTCACCATGCACTGGCCCGAGATAAATTTTCCTCATGGTGAGCCGATAGAATATCTAAGACGGTCCCTGCAAAGAGTACATCTTATCTTAATCGTACTGGTTTCTCTCCCCACAGCCCGCTCTGGGATTGGAGAGAAGATTAACACAAGGAGGGGCGCACACAAGATGTTGGTATGTGACGATACCTGTCTATACAGGGGAGCACCGAGATCCACTCGGCCAATCCATAGTCTTTAAACGGCGTCCACATATGTGTCTCTTTTCTGTGAGACTGGCATCTACAGTGGAGAAACGAGAATGTCAGTATAAATGGTGCCCAAGTAGTTTTCCGCGGGCCGAGCAACATCGGCTACCTTATCCCTTTTCGACCGGGGTGCTTCTTTTCCAGACATAGCAGAACTTTGGGTCGATCTCCAAGCAAGGCTAGAGAGGACCTCTCGATGTGCTTCTCACGTGAAAATAGGTCTGTGAGATACGAAATCGGGGTTCGACGGAGGCGAAGGCTGACCCGACAGTACGGTTCGACCATGGATTCCATGTTAACAATGACCAATCATGAGGAATCTGCAAGTCAGCACGGCTATAAATGTCAGTACGTTTATGGCTGCGAGGTAATCCATGTTTTTCGACTTATTACTGTAATTGTAGGACACTTTACGAGAAGTGTTGGAGGTTAAGTTAACTGTATTACTTCGCTCTTTGAGATAAAATGGTCTGACGGGCTATATTCCTAGTATGATCTATGATCTAATACACTTTCCCTTTCCGTACGACGTAAGAGATGAGACGAAGGTTGGATACTCAAAGACCATCTTGTAGTAATTATGTACTATAATATACCTGTCTTGTTTGCTCGATTGTTGGTGGTAAACACGTCGAATGTAACACGCCGCACCTTAGACGCGAAAACCGCAACGTTGCGCTTCGAGTACGGGTTCCGCAAGACTCGCCTCATTTAACCGGCAGGGAAATAAATACGACAGAAGGTAGAAACGAGTCAGATTTCACGTGTATCGGGTAAGGATATTATGCATGTTGGTCGGTGTTGGTAGCTACTTTTGAATAGTACCATAGTAATAGCAAAGAGAAGAATGTTGGTTGAGGTTCAACATATGCGACCGTTTATGCGGCCATAGAGGACGAGTTGAATTTTAGTGGTCGAGCCATTCGGCTTTTTTGATCGTGCTTAAGAGATACCGCCAAGAGATTTCTCCACCCGAACCAATGGGGGAGTACATACTACCGGTTTAAAATTCTTACTGCCTGCCGCTGTTAGCGTTTGTTTTTGCATAGGTAATCTGAGTTTACCTCAGGTACCTATAACTATAGATGATTTAGACTTTCTTTTATAAAGCCTGCCTTCTAGTACATAATGTGTTAGTAATTGCATACATGCAACCTAGGTAGATATGGCTGTATGTGCAAAGTTCCCGGGAATCGAAGAAGATTGTTACATAAATCTAAACTTTAACTGGGTTTAATTACATACATAGTACACTAGGTAAGAGGTAGATCCGGTTAATACATTACGTACATACCTTAACGCGCTTTCGCTTACGTGCATCGCGCCTAGTTTAATGCATGACGTATTACGTGGGTCACTGATCTCAATATAATATTTTCAATTTAATATAAACCAAAGCATAACTTAGCCATAAGCAACCAGCCATCTCTTGAGGTTGAGGCTATAGAAATGAGTCTATCGCGATGTGCTATAAGCCATTGCCGCAAATACCCCGCCTCTCTTCGCTTATTCTATAGTGCATCTGATAATTCATCCCGGCGTACTCGGTTGTTGCCGCTGCGGAGCTCAAGGACTTATTCTTCTCAGCATGGTAACGATCCGAGGCTGAAAGATCTTGGAAAACAAATATATGATGACTATGCCACCATAAGAGAACATTACGGTACAGAGTGACTCATCCCCGAGATATTATAGACTTCATGACTGACATGGTCCTCAGCTACTCCTAAATATCCAGTGGTCCTCGCGCATGGTTTATTAGGTTTTGCCGAACTTCACCTTGCTGGAGGATGGCTCCCTGGCATTCATTATTGGCGCGGCATCACAGATGTATTGAGAGCTAATGGGGTTGAAGTCATAACAGCAACTGTGCCTCCATCCGGAAGTATCGAGCAAAGAGCTGAGAAGCTAGCTCATAGCATTGCCGATGTTGCGCGGGATAAGAGCGTGAACATCATTGCGCACTCTATGGGCGGACTCGATGCTAGATACATGATTTCCCATCTCCAACCTAAGAATGTGGATGTGAAATCTCTAGTCACCGTCGCTACTCCACATCGAGGGAGCGCCTTTGCGGATTATATATTCAAAGAGATCGGCGCAGACAGACTTCCAAGCATATATCAACTTGTTCAACGCGTAGGCATGGATACAGGCGCATTCGAGCAACTCACGCCGGCATATATGACAGAAAGTTTCAACCCACGGACCCCAGATGACCCAAGCGTTTGCTACTTCTCATACGGGGCCATGATGGATCAGCCTCCCCTCTTTTCGCCTTTCCGTCATTCTCATAATATTATTACTAACATAGAGGGACCCAATGATGGTCTCGTTAGTGTAACAAGTTCGAAATGGGGTTCATACAAGGGAACTCTAGTAGGTGTCAGTCACCTGGATTTAATCAACTGGACAAACCACCTAAAATGGACCTTGTCAAAGTGGATGGGTCACGGACCAAAGTAAGTTGGGGCCTTTCTCGCGCCTAAATTCTCAGCTAATTCGTAAAAAGATTTAACGCTATAGCATTCTATCTTGATATAGTTGACATGCTCTCAAAAGAGGACTTATAGTTCTAAAGTCTAGACTTAGAAGTTTCTAGGTTATAGAAAGAATTTCCTCTCAGCCAGAGTTGATACCATGGAATACTCTATATTTCAGGTACGTAGATATAATCTCAAATGGTCCTCGACTATTAGAGTTTCATCCTTAACGCTGTTGGAAGGTGCGATGCTTAAAGGCATATATAAGATTTCCACCACTTAACGTGGAGTATTAGAATCCTTTCTAATACAACATGCTTCTACCACATTATTCCACAACGCCAGACCAGGATAATTCGCTGACAAGAAAACAGCTTAGTTATATTTAAGATATCTACTAATGGCCAGCCAAGCTTCTAACCCGGAGACGTTAGAAAATTTTGACTTGTTCATATTCCTACCAACGGAGATTCAATGGATGATATGGGAGCTCACTCTACCTGGCACGATGCTCCGCGTGGGTGGAGCCCGTTTTCCCGTGATCGAGATCCCACAGCCACCCGAAGAACACCTTTACGGCAATACCCCTGACCTCCAAGACGTCCCAATATATTCGCCGAGCATCGTAGCTCTCAAAGTCTGTTACCAGAGTAGAATGGTCGCCCTAGAAAATCTCGTGCCGTTATATCGGTCTTTGACGAGTCACAACCGTATAATTTGCAGCTATATTTCTATGCACGACATCGTCGACGTCGGGATCCTTACGTTTCTGGAAGAATGGCGTGCCATGAAGGACGAGACATATGGTCCCGTCGGTAGGCTTGCGCGGAGAGGGCGCACGTTAGGGTCGAGAGGGTGGTCAGCCGACGCTTTCGAGACTAAACAGGCCAAGTTCCTATACGACATGGCCTCCCACCGTCTATCTGCGGTAATTTGGTTAAAAGCCACCACCAACGTAGATGCAGAAGAATATACGTTGCAAGATACCTTCGTCATTCGTTCCTCGTCCCTCGAAGAATGGGTCTTCGGCTCCCGCATCACCATCGGCCGCGTGCCCCGGGTCCTACGCAGCTTCGAGCTTGACCCCGCGAGATGGACGGCCTACAACTGCGCTACCCTCATCGGAGGGACCCGGTACAACCGCCAGTACAATATCGCAGGGCTCTGCTCTCGCCCGGAAGAGATCCTGGGTTCGTGGGTGTGGCTCCTGCACAGGCTAGCCTACCCGCCGCATTCGCCGCTTATGCTGCAGTTGTTACCTCCGCGCCGCAACGTCACCATCCTGAAGATATTCGTTATTATTATGGACGGCGGTAACTGCCCCTCGTGCCGTCGCCCCATTTTATCGCGTATTAGAGAGTGCTACCCCGAGCTACCGTTTGACCAAGTCGATCTCCTATTCCGTATCGAGCGGTCTGGTGTCCCGCGGGGGTACAACAATCCGCTGAGATTAGTTCATATGTAGGCACCACTAATATTGTGAGCGCTTTTCGGAGCGTTATAGCGTTCTTTTGTGTTCTTTTGTTTTCTATTGGATACGTGCTAACGAGAAACAGGCGTTAGTCAATACCTTATTTACTTCGATACTATAAGGCGAGGGTTACGGTATTGTTATGCCGATAGGTATACGTTGGGTCTCGGGACATTGCGCTGGTTATCTACATATCAACTGGAATTCTTGGGTAGTTCTCTATCCTTTACTTCATGGAGAGAGGATGAGACATGACGTATGAATACATACGCGCGAATGGTTCTTAAAGCCAAACCCTCATTACTTTTGGTATTTTGTTTTTTCCATTTCTTTTGTGACGATCGAGATGTTCTAACTGATTGGACATGACCTGCCAGAGTATTGACTTCTTAGCTTGACGTGGCATAATAGAGCCTACTCCTTTACGTTAGGTACTTGGGTAATTATACTTACCCTTCTATAAGCCAGTATTGTACGATCATAAAGGCCTAAGGCAGCGTCCCGTATCTCGTGGAACACAGGCGGTAAACCAGTAACACATCAAGACCCCGGGCGGTTGCGACACGTATCTCAAGCAGTATACCTCCTCTTACGAAGCTCATGCCTATCATGATACCAGACTAGGTCTGTTATGTCATCCTCAGGATTCGTGGCTGAGCCTCAACGGCCACTGCCAACTGGGCGTATGCGTATGAAAAGTAAACACGAGCCACGTGTCGTGTCCTGGTCCTACTACCTAGTGATACTTCCTTACCTACCTAACCTATCTACTTATATATACACAACAAGTAGGTAAGTAAAATCGCCTCTTCTCGAAGCGGCGGGCTCGAACAAATCTCGTGCGCCCGCAGATATTATCTATCGGGCGAGCGATAGCTTTAGGAGCCAAAAATAGGCGGCGGTGGAGACCTTTCTAATTTATACGAAACATACGCCTGGACGGCTTGCATGAGGGCGCACGACGCAGTCTGTGCGAGGTCGGTTCGATCAAGGGTCCAGGTTGCTTGGTGGCGGTAAACAATGGGGATATGAAAGAAATATGACCTATAAGCTAAGCTAGGCGGTTCGCCTCGTGCCCTTGGTCCCGGTATACCTAAATGAGATGGGCTTTGAGTTCTATGTCGGGTTGACTATCGAGTGTTCGAAGATGTCTTGTTCTCCTCTTGCACATTTCTAGATAGAAATACCCCCGTCGGGGAGGAGATGTGACAGAAAAGGGTCAGGGATGAATGAATGCTACGCTGAATCCGAGTAGTCGCCGTATATAAGATATCTCAGGGTATTCGAGTAGGAGATAGACAATCTTCTTGGCCCCGCGACAATGGAAAATGATATGTGACGTAAATAAACCTTCGACCATGAAATTGATTTTGATACGAGTTCGCTTGTGTATGACTTGGCTCGTTGCTATCGAAAATAAAGTAAGGTCTCCCAGTCTGTACTACGCTTGCTCGATCGCAAGCGATCCGAAAACGGCTTTCTAAGAGAAAACATATCAACGTATAGGTTAGGTAGTCATCCCTTGTATACTCTTAGATCTCGTGGTCCCACAGATCTTCGCGTCGGTACGGTACCTCTCGCTACTTACCAAACCGCGCCCACCTATAGGCTGAGATGCATGTGCACCTGTGTACGCTACACACCAGCGTCGGGTATAAAGCCATTTACCACACACGAGCGCAAAGTATTTCCGGCTGTTGAATCAGCCTCTGTGTAAGTGTAAACGTAGTTGTGTAACTCAACTTGCATGTCTTGTTCGTCCACTGACTTATCCTACTTATATACCGACTTACCTACCATAGCTACCTACCTAGGTAGGCAGATAGGGTTTCCGTACCCCAGCTATGCGGCAGTGGAGGTATTATACATGTAACGCACCCAATGGTATGGTAAGTTTGGACTGTCAAAGCATCACCCGAGGTGTGGGAGACGAGATACGAATAGCCTCAACGCTAATCGAGCCTAGCGGGTTTCCTCGGTGGTAGGGGGGCGGGACGTCCTCCGGCATCTCGGCTCGGTTACTGTTCTGGGCCTGCCTGGTGGGTTGGCAGACGGGATATCGTATCGTCGAAGCGAAATCAGCGATGAAATTCACGTAGTTTTGGAGGTTCCCCTGATAGGTAGGATGCTTCTGGAACCGTCCACCCAGCTGCTCAAGAAGAGGTGTAGGCTATCTTTCGGGAACTCCAGGTAGCCGGATTTAATTGGATGCTGGCGGTGAGGGCGAAAGCAACATCGTTAGTACTTCCTCTACTAGGCTCGGTATATAGCTCCAGCGTCGCCTGGCATCCTATGATACGCGCCTATGATACGTGTAGCTGGAATGTGATCAGTCACTGATATAATAGTCTTGAAACACCTCTGGCCTTGCACGGCCGAATGTGTAATCATACACCACCGGCGTCTTTATGCACGACACGTGGATATTATAATTTCTTCTTTTCATCACGGCTTATGATTTATATAGATATATGTCAAGATTAGCTTGTGAGAGTCTTGTAAAGACGGTATCAAATGTGAGATAGGCACATCCCTTTCAGATCGCCTGATACATGGTAGCTAAGCCAGTCGGCCCGTATCAAGGCTGCTAGGAGGCTGTTTTTAATGTAGTGTATGGTAGTCTGCGACCAAGCCGGTGAATACTCCGAGACGCGAGTTGAGCCAGTAATATGGCTTTTTGTTTGGTGACCTCGAAACTCAGTATTTGGTGCTCCTAAGTGTCTTATCCTACCGTCCTAAGTTTCTCCAAATATTTATCATGGTAGAAAACACTTACAGTGTGGATATTAAGTCTGGGCACATTCTGAGATATGATATGGACACCAAGCAAGTTGCCCCTCAGGACCTCAGCCCGCGTGCGTTATGCAAAATACCAAGCATGTTTGGTGGCTTTTTAATCAAGCAAGCAGGTCAGGAAAATGATGCGATCAGATCATCTATACAGATAAGTCCTCTTTTATACCGAATCGCAACCTTAAAAACATGGGAGCCCTACGATCCTCTTTGGCGTGACCCGTCGGGCGTGTAGCAGGAGAGGACCGTACCGTGCTCAGGAGGTAAGCCTATTGCGAATCAATGGCCCAAATATATGATGCATACTATTGTTGGTCGATATGGTCTTAGGAATGGCGCCAGGCTATAGTGGGCTGCAGTATCGCCTACTTGTTGAGCGATGAATGCTCAGGACGAGATAGGCACGGTTGCAGTAAACATATTCAGCACACGTCGAATCTAGCTTTCCCCTTGGGAGTTGGCTAGTCACTCACCTAAAGTCGGACCATGATAGACCATGATAGACCATGATAGCGCGCAGTGTCTTTAAAATCAGCCGTGGTGTCATGTGCCCGAGTGCCTAATCCAAGTGCGGTTCAAAGAGGCTCTTAAGGTGAACAGACACGCGTAAGGTGGGAGTACCCGTCACGAGGTTCGCTGATTATTTACCCTGGCTGCTACAGGCATTGTACCTAGCAGTCAAGCATCCCCGACCTCCCTAGGCCGTACACGCGGAGAGATCGCCGATATGTGCGGATTCGCCAAATTCTAACGAACCCACGCATTAGTCCTCATGCATAATAATATAACATACCACATGGACGCAACGAAGCCCGGGGCAGTGGTGATATCCTCTTCCTTCTCACTCAGACGTAGTTTCTTATTCGGTGTTCAAATAGCTCGTTATAGTAAGAAGAACATGCATTTCCTGTTGCTAATAAAGGGGCGCCTGTGATTTTGACTTGCCTAATAGGCACGCGAAACCGGCGGTCGTCCTCGGCCTTATTCGACGGGTTATGCTAATAACGGTTTGTTAGTACATCAATGTGGCGACGAGCATAAAGCTCCCCTCCCAAAATACCTAATTCAGGGATTATAATAGGTATTCTTTCGACTATCAGTTTTGAAAGCCGGACAACAAATACGGTAGTCGGACTAATAGTACTCAATCGGACAGCTGCAGGAATGTGAGATCAAATCGTATGAGTGATCGACAGCTGACATCCATCTTTCTTGCTAGGCCCATAGTTAGATGCGAAAGTGCGTCCTAAGGGAGGAATGATATGCGCGTACGCCTCTATGTATAGCCATTTCCTTGCGCCTTGAACCTTGTGTCCTCTTCTATCTGCAAAAAAAAAATTTTTTGCAGCCTTTTTTTTTTCGCGCCAAATTAAGCTGAAACGGAGGCAATTCTATTGTTTCGACTGTCAGCTGTAAAACAGTAGGTACACAATGGTGTCGGAAGAAGCGCAAAATCGTATAGCGCTGGTGGTCTTACAATCCTTTCCCGTTTGTCACCTTATTCACCCGAAACGATCCCTGGGTCTAGAACGCTCGATGGGGCCTGGCTGCATAATCCATGCAAGCCATTCTAGCCATATCTGCAATCTTTGTCTAGAGGAGACAACGGGGTTACAAATTACCTTGAGGTATGTCTAGGTAGGAGACTCCACCGTTTCTTTGAATGTGCCCGTCGGTAGACTTCTGTACCAGGCAAACTTCGGTGTCTCCAAGTGTACCAATTTGTGGGTTCGAGAGGGGCCAAGTTCTGCCAAGTCACGGTGATCGTATGCATATATCGTTTTGATCTGTGTAATTAGATGATTTCCTGTACATCGGAGAATAACTTTGCGGTGTGATTGTCATCGCTTTACCGGGGTTGTCTGCGAGCTCGGGATGTATGAGTACCTATGTAAGATAGTCTACTGGCTGCTCTGCCCTTTGTACCTAGGTAGGTAGAGTGGGTGTGTCTGTAAAGGCCACTACTACCACCCACACATCCTTTTGGGGGTGGGCTAGATTTCTGCTGTTCCTGAAAGCCTCCCATCGATAACGACAAGACAAAGACAACTACCCGTTCGCGTTGCAATAATTAGAACTTGTCACAACAAAGGCCGGTCGTCCATCTCCGTATTCGATCCAGGATATGATCTACACGATCTGACCCTTGAAGAGACAAGTAAAACACCCGTCGGCCATAGTAAGCTTTGCGAAAGAACCACCGGACGCCAGGGCCTATCCAGGTGGTTCTAGTACTCCTCTAATGCTCAAGGCTCCAATGGGTATCGTCTCAAGCACGGCCGGACGCCGGGACGGAAACAACGGCAAGGACAGAAACCAGCAGATTCAACCGGATGGTGATCAGGGGAATTCAAATGCCGTCGGCCACTCGCAGACGCTCTGGATCCTAATATTCCGGGGTTACCCTCGCGATATCCAGTCTACCCGAGTCACCGAGTTGTGTATAGTCTTCGACGATAACGAGAATAAAAACCTCACCATCCGAATCCAGGGCAGCTACCCTCACTATAGTGTGAATGAAGTATGGAACCAAGCTCATCCACGAACGAGACCGCATTTCTATCGGCGACTTGCAGTTGCGACAGTTGAGACTAGTTTGGAGTCCGATACGCGGCTACGCGACGCAATTCTTGGGACTCACGTGAACAATACCGAGCTGGATTGGAACTGTCAGAGCTGGGTTGGAGATGTTTTGACGACGCTTCAAGACGCAAAGCTTATTACCGATGAAGAAGGCGATAATGCGTTGAACGGAATGGTCAACTATATCGCTCGGGCGCCGTGGGAATAGCGAATATAGTATGAGACGGCAGATTAGTCTGTATTTCTCGGCGAGTATACAGAATTGCTATCATGCTGAGAAAAAGGCTGAAGAAATGGGGGTTAGTAAATCTACCTGGGCCATATGGCTTAATAGTCTTCCTTGGTGGACTTCTTCAGGTAGCGCCACTATCCTGTTGTCGGCAACCTGGTTTCGATACACGCTGACATGATCATAGCATATGTTTCGAGAGTGACTCCCGACGGTTTATATCACTCTGACTTCGAGCGCGAGGGTTAAGGGTGTCTCGCTCGCCCGATACACCTGGCGAAAACTGCTTCGCTCACCGGTGCGCTGGATATCATGTCTAGTCAGAATAAGTATCTACCGTCATAAGATACATCGGCTTTCCTTAGTCTCTCACCCTTTAGGCAAACGAAACAAGCAGCCTCCAGCAGAAGGGCGTCGTAATAATGTAACGAACCGTATGAAGTTTTCATAAGGGTTCAAGTTGGAAGAAAAGGACATCTAGGGTGCATAAGTCGGGTTTCACGTCATTTCAGTTCTGGACTTTTGATGGGGGTTTGGGAGTGTACGGTATACATAGGAATATACCCCAACCTCATTCGTATAACAAAAGCGAAGGCGTTTAAGGAAAGCATGCGATATTAGTTTGCGACTCTCGAGATATCTGTCTTCCGTACAATACACAGCTAGGAATATGTTTGGTTAGTATGGCATTTGGTATCATACCGTACCTCGCCTGCACGACGATGCGAGAACAGCTTTCGAGAAATAGTGCAATGGCCGAGAGAGGGACTGTACTGCTTCAGGGTGTGAGATCTCCGAGCTTGGTATCATTGCCGCCATGGTCTGATGCGGCGATATCAACCGATTCCTTGCAAATTATCTAACCGAAAGTCTTAATATCGCGCGGCCGAAGCATTATTTGGAAAGGGGAAATAGTGGAATATACGTGGGAGTGATATAAATGAGAATTGCTGTGAAAATTTTTGCTACCTCTACTGGAAATGAAGCAAGACAACACGAGTCTTCTTTAAAACAGCAGAACTGGTGGTGATGATACTGTTGCTATAGTATTTGGTGCAGAGAAGCTTATGCGATGCGTATAAAGGCTTATGTGTATAGGCTGACTGCCCGAGGTAGATAAGTAAGTGTTGTAAAAAGAAAAGGTGAAGGTTTTGGCCTTGATTTTGGCCTTGGTTTTGGTTTATGCGGTCCGGCGCCAACGCGGATTTGGTCAATGTTTCTCACCTTGCACTTGCCTGGCCCGTTCACCTTATGATATCAGTACTTGTTATGATATGAGACAATTAGGAATGAGCTCTCATGCTCGAAATTTAATGCATTTTAGTACTAAGATATCCCATACGTTAGGTACCTACTTACCTTAACTAGTATTCTTTTATCGAGGTGTTTTGTTTAATATTAAAATTGATTGGCTGTAAGAAGATCAAAAGACAGGTACCTAACCTAACCTAACCTAACGTAAGCCGCCCCTGCTTTTGCATCCACATCGAGCCGCAAGTTGCAAACTGCCCAGTGCTACTGCCGCATTGATCCGTACGACCCTTATGTATTAGCCGCTATCATAACAAGATACATCCCTAAACGGCCCTAAACAATCTGCACGCTTAGCCCGTCGTGTACAGAGGCCACCTTCGCCTTCCTTATCCTAAAATCATAGATTTGAGTTGCGCTGCGTTTCGAATCCTCCGTTGTAATCACTTTTAGCTTAGGTACTAACCTTAGATTTTGTTACCTTTTCTATAACTTCAGCCTGTTCGAAAAACAACGATCAATCCAACAGTTTGGTAGATGTATAAATAACGGATGTTAACGTCATAGTGAGAACCCGAGAATCCTTTTCGGCGTTTGCAATTATGCCTCCTCCAGCTTCGCTCTGGAGCTCGGTGCGCGTTGCCGCCGGCGCGCTTCTCGGACTGGCCTGCTGGACATCGATAACCAACGCCGAAAAGAGTGCTGGAGATTATTATGTCCACTCGTTGCCAGGTGTACCCGAGGGGGATATGATTAAGATGCATGCTGGGTGAGTGAAGACACTTGACACCCATCAGCGTTTTATACTATATGTCACCAACTTGCTTTACTGACTCTCATTCTTCTCGCATAGACACGTCGAGATCACACCGGAGCACAACGGGAACATTTTCTTCTGGCATTTTCAGAATCAGCACATTGCAAATCGACAGCGCACCGTCATATGGCTAAACGGAGGACCCGGCTGCAGTTCCGAAGACGGCGCATTGATGGAGATCGGTCCCTATCGCTTGAAGGACGAGAATACCTTACAGTATAATAATGGTAGCTGGAATGAGTTTGCGAATCTGCTTTTCGTCGATAACCCCGTGGGAACCGGATACAGTTATGTCGATACCAACAGCTTCGTACAAACCCTCGACGATATGGCGAGCCAGTTCGTTACCTTCCTCGAAAAATGGTACAATCTATTCCCGGAATATGAGCACGATGATGTAAAAATTCACAATTCCCCTTTATTACAATATGTTAACTAATTCTTTAGCTTTACATCGCGGGTGAATCGTTCGCCGGACAGCACATCCCCTACATTGCAAAGGCGATCCTCGAGCGAAACAAGCTACCTCAAACCCAAACTCCGTGGAATCTCAAAGGCCTGCTGATCGGAAATGGCTGGATCTCCCCTCCGGAGCAGTACGAGGCGTACCTATCGTTCGCATACGAAAAGAACATTGTCACGAAGGGTTCCGACTTAGCGGCCGGGATCGAGGCTCAATACCGTGAGTGTAAAAAGGATTTAGCTTCATCTGGTGCTCATCGTGTGGATGTCGATACTTGCGAAAAGGTGCTCCAGGAAATTCTCCGCCTAACCCGAACGAAAGGTTCGGGAGGTAATAACGAATGCTTCAACATGTACGACGTCCGACTCAAAGATGTGTATCCGAGCTGTGGCATGAACTGGCCCCCGGACCTAGAATTTGTTACGCCCTACCTTCGAAAGCCAGAAGTGGTCAGTGCACTACACATTGACCAGAATAAAGCTACGGGATGGGCCGAGTGTAACGGTCTTGTTGGCATTGCGCTCAGGGGAAATGCCGGAAAGCCGTCTATCGAATTTCTGCCGGACCTCATAAAGGAAGTAAATGTACTTCTCTTTTCGGGTGCGGAAGACCTTATATGCAACCATCTGGGTACGGAAGCCTTCATAAGCAACATGCAATGGAACGGTGGGAAAGGGTTTGAATTATCCCCCGGAAACTGGGCACCACGACGCGATTGGACTTTTGAGGGTGAAGCGGCCGGCTTCTGGCAGGAAGCTCGTAACTTAACATATGTATTACTATACAACTCATCGCATATGGTGCCTTTCGACTATCCGCGCCGAACCCGCGATATGCTTGACCGGTTCATGGGGGTCGACATCAGCAAAATCGGGGGTATACCCTCGAAGAGTTTCCTCGATGGCGAGAAACTACCTGATACTACTGTAAGCGGTGCTACTAACCACACCGAGTCCGACCAGGCGGCCAAGGACAAGGAGGTCAGCGACGCCAAGTGGGCCGCTTACCAGAGATCAGGCGAAGTCGTCCTAGTTATCGTAGTTGTCGGCGCTACTATCTGGGGCTACATGATTTGGCGCGGTCGCCGCCGAACCGTCGGGTACTCAGGTCTGCCTATACTATCTGACTTCCCGCGTGCCACCGGGCTGGAGGGCTTCCGTTCCCGGAGGGCAGCAAACAGCCGCGATTTGGAGACAGGCGATTTTGACGAAGGAGAGTTAGACGATTTACATATCACAACACCCAGGGACACAGGTGCGGGCAAGGAAAAGCGTTATAGCGTGGGAAACACAAGCGACAGCGAAAGCGAAGACGAAGATGAGGACAACTCGGAGCCGGAGAGGACTACCCGGAAACCTGGCCCCAGCGCCGGCCAGTCGTCAAGTAGGAGCTAGAGTCCTCGGAGATCGACCGGCATGAAGCACAGGCGGGCATATTTCTCTTTGGCGCACGTGTAGAGCCTCTTGGGTACTTTTTGGCACAAAGGTAACAGGGGGATTAAGATAGGAAAACGGAAACGTTCGCTCGTCTTGTCTTGTCTTGTCTTTTTTTACGTCTCCGCAGTTGTAACTATTTACTATCATAGCGGGTTTGGGTTCTGGTCCTTATAGGCGTAGGGTTGCGTTGCGTTGCGAAAAGAATAAAATCGAAAATGAAAATGAAAATGAAAATGACTATGACTTGGGCTCGTAGATTTAGGTGTCGAGTAGGAAGGACCATGTGTGATTTATTTAAATGTCTAGGTTACCCGATTACTGTGTGAGTGTAAGTGTAGTTAATTTTGTAGATGGACCTATCACATCATAAGATCTCGAGCTAACAGCATTTTTCAAATAGTATTCTCAACCCATCCATCCCATACATACATACCTATGTTAACCTCTACTCCGTACACAAGCCCAAAATCAAAACCCCTCTTAGACCACCGTTAGAACAACCAATATTTTAAACACGAGTCGTCCTCGTCGTAAAGAATGACGCGGCTATGTACATATATGCAATTGAGGCTAGTCGCAAATACGAAGAGGGGCTCATCGTGTCGTGGGTCTGGTACGGTCGAATCACTGCTTCGTATATGTATGTAGGTACCTACATACCACGCCCCGCCATAAACTAATTTTGCAAGAATGGCCTGAGGTTGTAGTTGCTAAGATGATAGTATCTTTTGTATCTAGTCAGACTAACTAAGAAGGTAAGACTGTTTTATTCCTTACGCATATGTAGCATACATTAGCATACATTAACATCAGGGGTCGGGTAAACTTAGGTAGTTTTGGTCAATACACATTAACTTAGTTCATATTGCTATACGATGGCCCTTAAGATCACGATGTCCTATCCTCATCTCACTTAACACTAAAATCTACAGAAAGGAGCCATCGTGATGCTAAAACGCCCACCCGAGTGAGCTTTCTAGCTAGGATAAGTGTTTATATCACTACCTGCCCTGTATTAACATTCCATGACTAGGCCATCCGCATCATATCGCCATAAGTATCAGAGCAGGTAAATATCTTTCGCCATTGCGGTCTTGCCTACTACAGAAAGCCGCGTCTGTTTGTCTGAGATGCACTGATATCTTCCTTGTAAAAGAACAGGTCAATCCTTGATATAAAAGGGGATACATGGGTAAGAAGCTGTATTGCCTCAGGACACCCGTGAGGTGCCACAAGAATAAAGACAGATCATCGCCGGAGCAAATGCTAGTGGTTCCTAACATTACATACTATCCACTCCTATTTTCATATCGTTGACTCATAACGCCGACAAAACCGACCTCCTATTAATAGGCGTTGCCGCTGAGAAAGCGCGTATTATGTATAGTCAAGTAGACGCTCGCTATTGGCTTAGCCGACGACTCCCTAGACGAGATGCCCCCGCCACGTATGTAATAGACCGCAACTCAACGTAAGCAGTCCGTAGACGTACTTGCATAAATACAGACGTATACGCCTGTTTCCTTTTCCTTAACCGGCCCGTCCTGTTCCCCTTTCCATTGCTAGAGTCCGATGACCTAAACATATCCCCTTCGCTCTTTTGCATACCGGTGCTCAACACTATGTAGGCGTATGACCGGGATAAGAAAACCATTATCGTCGAAAAACTCCGCGTCGCAAACCTTGGGGTACGCAGAGGGGTATCAGTTCGAACGAATGATTGACATAGTAAATCTATATCCGAGTAAAGGAAATGGTCAAAAACAAAACAAAATTCAACGTAAAATTTCAGACACATCCTGGTCTCATGTTGTTATAGTTGCTTCGTCACCCGGGCTGGACCTAAAACTATCGGTCCATTTCTGGGAACGCACCCTCTTCTCAATACCTTCTAGTTTCCTTTCTATAGGACTTGAATCAATCAATTTCGATAACTTCAATTCCAGATTCCATGAGCTGGTTTGTTTTGGATAGTTTTCCGGTTGATACGTTGCCATCATCCTCACTATCGACGTCTCCATCGTCGTCCGCTGGTTGTTCCTTCGGTTTCCACGTCCCATCTGGTGAGACAAGGATCGACTTCGTTTGTAATAAATTCTGGAGCTCTAGCTGCGAGCGTACTTCGACAAGAAACTCATCGATGACGAGGCTGTATGGTCGTGCATCAGCGAGGCAAAGTGGACACTTCCATTTGTCTACAAAAGATGGTTCGTTGGGACATTTCGAACAGCCCCCGGGAACGTTGTTACACCAGTTGCATGATTTCTTACCCAGCCGAGAATTCAGCCAGGTTTCGAGATCAAAGCACTCGAGGTGCGTGCATGATTTCCCGCGAACGGGAACTTTGATCATGACCCTAGAAAAAGGATCCATGAGATCGATAGATAATTCGTTCACCATTATAAGTTCGTCTTCGTCCGCAGACTGTTGGGAGAATCCATTTGCCCCCACAAGACGGGTCCTAATCACCTCTCGTGTCGTATCTGCCGGTACTCCTCCACGCATTCTAACCATCCGAAGCACATCACGGTGACTAAGAATTTCAACGAGCTCGATTGCAATATAAAATTCCCAACAGGGTTTGGGTTCTTCCCTGTTTTCCCTAATCTTTGGAACGGAGATTTTGAGTATGTTCTTGTTTGCGACAGCGGCCGAGGAAGCCTCAATTGGCAAATCCTTAGAAAAATGCGACCTCCGAGGGATACTGAGGGCTTTATTGTTTAGTTCCATGAAAATATGTTGCGGCCAAGTTGTTTCGGTAGTGACCCAAGAATCGCCGAGAGAGGTATGCATCTTCTTCATGTAACAGCATCGAATGCGGAGACGTAGAGATCCACTGGAGAATAAACATATAGGCAAGTATTCACCTTCTTTAGCCTCTTCCTTTACTAGTTGAATAAACTGATGTCCCGGGATGTCAAAATCGAACTCATGTAGATATGACTGAGGCGGGATCGCGACTGGGGGGAGCGCGAACTCTTTGACTGCTTGATAATACCTTCCTAGTTTTGCTGGGTCATGTTCTTGCGGCATTCGTTTCGGGCTTCTCAGCCGAACCTGATGAAGAGACATCGCAACAGAATGCCTGTCATATTGAGTATAAGGATAGTCTCGCCGATCGATAGTTACACCGGGCGCCGGAATTAAACGGTCAAGGTCACGGTCATGACCGGCGAATTGTGTTTTGTGCTGCAGCCGGGGATCCGAAAGCGATTGAGTATAATTAGGCCCCTGGAGTTGATTTCCTTGAAACTGATTCGTGGAGTACCTTAGCTGCGGAGTCGTTGGTGTATTTGGCGCAGAATTGAAATTGCTATAGTCTGGAATTTGGTTTCCAGGATTTAGGTGACTGGGATGAAAGTGCCCGGACTGACTGTTGAGTCTATGTAGGCTCTGCGCCCGTTGTCCAGTAAAATGAACCTGATGAGGTTGACTACCGTACGCACCTGTCGAAGCAGGGGCAATAGGTCGTGGAGATGCCGGCGCCATATATGAATCTGGTTGAGAGAGTCTCCTCACTGTTTGGTGCTGTATGCGACTAAATTGAGCAGACTGCGTGGGTGTACATATCCTCTGATAATTGGGATTCGGCTGCAACGGTGTTGTCACTGTTAAGCTATTGGCTGGATTGGCGTTTGAGGATAGTATGTACGAAGGCGGTATCGCGACCGGCATCGTACCTTGAGGAAGAGCAGGATCGGTAGACTGAGGTGCTTGTAGGGAACCCTGATAGAAATTCTGCCGCATTTGGGGATTCATCTGATAACCCACCGGGGAATTCACCCGGGGATGTACTTGTCGGTTGAGTTGGGTGTTTATCTGAAGACCGATCTGGGAATTCGCTAGGTAGCTTGCCTGAGGGTTAAATTGAGGGTTTATCTGGCCACCCATCTGAGGATTCGCGTGGGAAATGAATTGAGAGTTGGTCTGAGAACCCATCTGAGAACCCATCTGAATATTTTGGTAAGGGTGTTCGTTTGATTGCTGGATATTAGGCGATCCAGTCGGATGGGATTGTTGGCCCACTCGAAAGCCTTGTGACTGGTACGCGGAAACAAGGATAGACATATATGCAGTGATGAGACTTTCGTTGTGCGCTTGGTACCTTAGGGGTTGGGGCTTCATAGCGAAGTCGTCAGGATAATTAAGATGATAGTCCTGGTCTGACTTGAATAGCATCTCCATACGCTCTGCAGTAGGTCCATCTCCGGCTCCTATGCTCCTTCTCGAGGCGCGGAACATTATTCCCTGGAGTATGGGGGAGTGTAGTAGGAATTCATCAAGGAGCTCGCCCAAGAGGAAAGGGTAGCCCTTTGCTCGGTGATCTGTGAGTACTCTGTGCCAATTAAGAGCTATTCGATGGAGGAAATTAAGTACTTGTCCCAGAGTGGCCTTATACCCAGTCTTGCCCAATGATTCATCTAGCGGAGCTGGAAACTCAGCTAAGAAATTAATGTGGTCTGGATTTAATTTGGTGTTGCTCTTAAGAATCATTTCCAGGCTGCTAAACCCCTTGTCCATCTCCCCTGGGTCGCGCGCGTAACTCTTGCAAATATCACGAGCTTGCACTCGGTTTCTAGACCAGATACAAAACACCTGGTGTAATACGATGAAGAAGAGGTCACCCGATTCAGAGGACTCCAGTAAGAGTTGATATCGGGGCCGCTCAACTGCCGGGTCTAGACTCTGTACCCCCCCTATGGATTGAAGACGGTTGTTGAGTACTGTAACTGCTCTGCACTCGGCGAGGAACTGGAGCGCAGGGTGGCTAAATACTATTAGTTATCAAATTCTCCAATATCACTAGCCACGATTGTTGCAAGATAGCTAGGCTTTATACATACCCAAGACGCTGCCTCTTAGCAGGTGGGTCCTCTAAGGGAATCAAATTACTATTTGGTAATGGCAAATTCGGTGTAGGAGGTGTATTGAGGGACATGCTAGCAGGGGTGGATGCCCTCGGGGATACCGAGATCTCTCTGTTTTGCTGCAATATTGTCCGTAGACGGGGTGTAGGGACCCGGGCTCCAGTTTGTTGCTCGTCATCCAAAGTGGTATTTTGGATGAGTCGAGGTTCGGCCACTGCAGGCACACTTTGAGGTTTGGTGGCACCCG